CTCCTAGTAACATGTCCAAAGATATGAGGCGAAGCCTCATCATTCTTGCCTCCAAAGAGCACTCTGACTGCACCCTAAGACATTTCTGTTTGTTCTCTTAGCTATTCATGGATGTTAGGTGCTCTTCTCCAATAATACCACAGCGCAAAGGCATCAATTCTTTTTATGTCATCCCTATTCATTGTCCAGGTATTGATGCATAGCTAGTCATTGGAAAGACCATGGCCTGAATCAGACACACCTTAGTCTTCAAACTGACATCATTACTCCTCAGTAATTTGGAAAGGTCCCTAAGTGCAGATTTTTGCAGTACAATGTGTCTCCTTATTTCCTGATTGCTACCAAGGGTAATAATCGTGGATCCAAGCAAGATGAAGCATTTGACAGTTTCAATCTCCACTCTATCCATCATGACACTGCCCACTAGACCAGTGGTAAGAATCTTTGTTTTCTTGATATTAAGACGTAATCCATATTGAAGGCTGCATTCCTTGATCTTAGGCAACAAGTGCGTCAAGTCTTCTTCACTTTATGCAAGTAAGGTTGTGTCATCTGTATAACGCAGGTTATTGATGAGCCTCGCTCCAATCCTGATGCCACATTTCTCTTCATAGAGTCCAGCTTCTCTGGTAATTTGCTCAACATATAGCTTGAACAGGTATGGAGAAAGAATACCACCCTGACACACTCCCTTTCCAATTCCACACCATGCAATGCTATCCTGCTCCATTTATACAACAGCCTCCAGGTATAGGTTTCTCATGAGCACAATCAAGCTCTCTGGGATTCCCATTCTTCTCAATGTCAGCCACAACTTGTCATGATCCACACAGTCAAACATCTTTGCATAGTCAATAAAGCACAAATAGACATTCATCTAGTATCCCTCACTTTCTGCCAGGATCCCTCTGACATCAGCAATGATATCCCCTGTGTCCCTGCCTCTTGTAAATTCCACTTGAACTTCTGGCAATTCCTTATCTATGCACTATTCTAGCCATTTTTGAATGATCTTCAGCAGCATTTTGCTTGTATGTGATATCAATGATATTGTTCAATAGTTTTCACATTCAGTTGGATCATCCATCTTTGGGATAGGAACAAATATGGACCTCTTCCAATCTGTTGGCCAGACAGCCGCTTGGTGTAGACTGGTGAGTGCATCCAATGTTGCATCTGTTAATTGAAACAAGTCAATTGGTAGCAGCTTCCACTTCCTCTTTTATTACCATTGGCTCCTGTTCATATAGTACTTCCTGAAATTTTTCAGTGTCAATAAATTCTTTCTCATACAATGACTTTGTATATTCCCTCCATCTTCTTTTGATGCCTTCTGGGTCATTCAATATATTGTCCATAGCATCTTTCAACATTGCAACACAAGGCTTAAATTTGTTTTTCTGTTCTTTGAGCTTGAGTAATGCAGAGCAAGTTCTTCCCTTCTTATTCCCCAGTTCCAGCTCTCTGCACATTCCATTATATAACTTTGTTCACCCAATTTGTCCTTTGAAATAATCTGTTCAGCTTTTTCATTTCAACATGTTTTCCTTTAGATTTGGCTTCTCAACATTCCAGTGCAATCTTTAGTCTCTTCTGACATCTATTTAGATTTTTTTTTCTCCTCCATTTTTGTAATGACTTTTACTTTCTTCATGGATGATATCCTTGATATCATCCCACAACTCATCTGGTCTTCTATTTTTGGTGTTCAATTGTTTGAACGTATTCTTAAGATGATCATGAAATTCAGATGGAATATTGGTCTGGTCTATTTGTTAATTATACTGTACATGAGGTTATTTAAAATACCATAGCTTTGTGGGTAACATCTTGACTTTTAAACACTTTAAACAGATTCTTTGCAGCAAGTCTAAGCCATACAGCACATCATTTGGTTTCCTTTGTATTGTTGCTGTTATGATTTGAGTAAAAGTTTACAGACATGTTGGTTTGTCTTTCAATCATGATAACAATTTTATTTTATACTATTGCTTACAATACTCAATGTAATCACTTTTGTCACTTCTCTCTGTACTTCTTATTTCCATTAATCCTCCTGCTCTACCCCTTCCAGCCTGTAGGGCTTTGGGTAAATGTTGCTCTTTCTTTTACGCTTGGTTGGGATAAAGAGTAAGTGTTATTGGTCACCTTATAAATGTATCAACAGCTTGGCTGAAAGTTGAACCATGGGGCTGAGTTTTGTTCCAGGTTCGAAGTGTGAGCAAGGGTCAGAGACTGAAGGATTCCACCAACTCTATGAGACCAGTAAACCTGAAATTGTCTTCATGGTTTTTGCTATCCAGGCCTTTCTACTATGGTGCCTTTGCGTGAATGAACCTCAATGTCAGCCAGGGATTTTCTAGTTCTTTAGAAAGTCATGGAATTTGAAGTTCATATGTTCCATTAGTGTTTTAGAATAATTATTTTCTATGTATCGTTGCTTTTCGTTCCTTCTTTTCTCTCTCTCTCTTTCTCTCTTTCTTTCCTTCCTTCTTTCTTTCTTTCTTTCTTTCTTTCTTTCTTTCTTTCTTTCTTTCTTTCTTTCTTTCTTTCTTTCTTTCTCCTCCACCTCGCCCTCCTCCTTTATTCTAGGCAGAGAGAAATTAATTGTTGCACTTTTGATGGTTGTTAGAAAGCATTTATGGACCCAGTCACTACTCACCAAAGTAGGAAAGAGAACATAATCTTTGTAGACAATGTTATACTGATTAATCTTTATGTCTCCCAAACCATGGTCCCAAGACCTCAGAACCAACAATTACACACCCATGCTTAACAGCAAAGAGAAACAAACATCTCAAGTGTCCATCAATGGAGGAAAGGTTGAAAAACTATTGACATGTGATTCCTTGACTGCTGCTTCCATGAATGTTGCTTATGGATTCAAGTAAAAGGAAACTCTTGACAACTCTAATCTTTATCTGTATTTATCATGATGTTGCTTATTGGTTCATTATGAATGTTTTGTTTTCTTTCTGTCAGGCAAAAAATAGACTACATAACATGTATTTTCAAAAAGGGAAAGCAAGATCTGTTAATTCAATATAAAATTTTGTCAGTGCTGTTGGAAAGTGATTGGGAGCTCATGCCTAATGTATTTCCTTGTACTCAAGTCCAGAACACTTGACAGTGCTCATGAGAAAACTATATCTAGACAGAGAGACTGTTGTGCAAACAGCCAGGAAACACTGCCTGGTTTAAAATTAGAAAAGGTGTGCTTCAGGGTTGTATCCTCTCTCCATACCTATTCAATCCGTATGCTGAGCAAATTAGTTGAGAAGCTGGACTCAGTGAAGAAAATGTGGAGTCAGGATTGAAGAAAGTTTCATCAATAATCTTCATGTTGCAGATGGCAAATCTTTGCTTGCTGAAAGTGAGGAGGACTGGAAGCGCTTGCTTCAGAAGATCAAAGACTACAACCTTCAATATGAATTACAACTCAATGTTAGAAAGAAAAATTCCTCACTGCTAGACCAATATGCAACTTCATAATTGAGGTCAGATAAAGGATTCAGACTGTCAATGATTTCATCTTACTTGGATCCACAATCAATGCCTTTGGAACCAGCAATCAGGTGACCAAGATGTACTCTACTGAGAAAGTCTGTAATCAGGGACTTCTCCAAATTATTGATGAGTTGTGATGTCAGTTTGAGGATTAAGGTGCCCCTGATTCAGGTCACATTCTTTTCAGTGACTTGTTATGCATCTGAAAGATGGACAATGAATAAAGATGACAAAAGAAGAATCTATGCCTTTGAACTGTGGTGTTGGAGAAGAGTACTCAATATCCCATGGACAGCCAAAAGAACAAATAGGTATGTTACTGAGAAGGTAGCCGGCATGATTCTTGGAGGTGTTGGTAGGAAATATTATTCGTTGGAGAGAGACATCATGCTTGGCAAGGTAGAGGGGCAGTGAAAGAGAATGACATGGGTTGACATGGGAATTGTAGCAATGGGCTTGAGTTGTGTCAGAGACTGTGAGGCTAGCACGGGATAGGGTTTAATAGTGTTCAGATCTGTGTTCAAAGCATCACTATGAATCATACTCAACTCAATGACACCTAACAATAACAACAACTCACTTCACAATTTGTACTGCTGGCCAATATCAAAACAAACAGAATCTTCTAGGATCCTGAGAAGACATTTTGCAGTAAAAGAGAAAGTAGTTTAGAAGGCCTGGAAATGAACTGTTATCTGTTTCTAGAATTATTTTAGTCTTTGATTTTTTAAAATATTTTTTGTCTTTTATTTTTAAAATGCATTATTATTATTATTAAATCCTCACATAAACACATGATCATTTTTCAATTAAAAAGGAACAAAAGAGAAACTCTGGATTAAAAATATTTTTCCAATGTTCTTTTTTAGTAACATTATGAAATCTCTCAAAAATGTAGTAAAAAACTAACCAACTTTGTTAAAACTTAGGGGAAGTGGTAGGACAAGGTTAAGTTTGCTTAAAAAGCATATGACTTTCTCTGATTGACTTTGCAGTATAGCTAAGTCACGTTTTAAAGTAACCATGAGCTGTGCAACGTTCCAGACCTCTGCCTAGCAAATCTCTGTCCAAAGGAGAAAACAGAGAAATATGAACTGTGATTGGCACTAATTCCTGCCACCAGACTAGTAAGTACTGTTTAAGACTGACTAATGGCCATTTTTGAACAATGGCTGTGACTTCATTAGGTTCTTCTAGTCTGAATTTTTTTTAGATTATTTTACTGTATATGGATATGAATATATATAATATACATATCTCTATCTCTCTGTCTATATCATCTATAATCAAATATGGTTACCTCCAGTAATGAGTCATTTAGTGTGCTGAAACATTACTTTGACACTCCCCACACTAAAACTCCCTATAAAACCACAGTGTGAAATAATAACTGCAGTGACATCGGTAAAACACATCAAGATCAAATCTCATCCTTCAGAACCTCTTTCCTTTACCGTCAAGGCAGAATCTGATCTTAAATCCAAATTTTCAAAATGACTAGATTTTCCTCTTTTCTCTTGTTTTCACTAATAGCTGTTGCTTCTATCACTCCAGAATGTAAGTATTTCCTGTGTCTACTAAATGTGATCATGATAGGGCCGTCTAGTTATTATATTGTTACATTGTTGCTGTTGTGTTCTGTCAAATTAGAATAGTCTCACAACTGATCCTCCAGTGGTCTTTCAGAAAATCCTTCCAGATGGAAAATATTTCCACAATGATTTCATCCTCCAAACATGATGTGTTATACAGGTATTGATCAGTAATATTATAACTACTGTTCCATGCTTAGAGGGTTTTTCTTCTCTTTTTAAAAAATTCAATAACTAGCATAAGAAGAATGGCGTACAACAACCCACTTGGTTCTTTGTAGTTAAATCTTCTGGTTTTCTTGTAGGTTTCAACATGGAAATTATTGGAGGGAGAGAGGTGCCACCTCATTCTATGCCATTCATGGCCTCCGTCCAGCAGGACGGGGTCCATGTGTGTGGAGGAGTCCTGATCCATCAGCAGTGGGTGCTGACAGCAGCCCACTGTCAGCATCTGTAAGTGCCCACCACTCTTCCAATTTATGTATGTTTCCTCACACTAGACTAGAAACTTCCCTCTCCAATGACAGAATTCAGTCTACCCTTAGCTTCTGTGACAACTGACGGACTCGTAGAGTTCAGTTACTTTCTACACATCACCAACGCCCTATTCCCAACGCGCGCGCGCACACACACACACACACACACACACACACACACACTTGGATTTTCCTCCTTGTAGAAAACTGGGCTACATTTCCATTCTTTTTACAAGTCAAAATATTAGATACATTCAAGTCCAGTGACTAATTCCAGGGGATATAGCATTCAATAATTGAATAATAGTAATAGCACTATTTCAATCACAGCTAATGATGCGGTATTCCTAACCTTGTTAGGTTGTGTTGTTTGTGAGGAAAATCAGAGAACCTAAATTTAATCTGTGCTCCTCAGCGCCCCCATTTCACAAGTGAGCTAATAGTAATAATATTACTTGTTTCAAAGGGTTTTAAGGCTGTGTTAGTCTCTATGCCACCACGGCTCCCTTTTTTGAAAGGGAGTGGTGTAATATGCTTGCACATGTTGTTGTTGTTGTTGGGTACCAGCGGATCAGAACTGACTCAGGGCTGACCTTCAGTGGGTTTTCAGAAGCTATAAATCACGTGGGAGAAAAATAGCCCATCTTCCTCCCTCAGAGTTGTTGGTGAGTTTAGACCATCTGGCTTTCGGTTGGCAATGCAACAAATCCTTATCTACCAGGCCAAAGAAGCTCCCTACTTGTTTGTATGTTGTTGTTGTTGTTTTGTTTTGCACTGTCAGACCTGACTCATAGTCGACTCTCTGGTGAGTTCTCAGAGGCAGTAAATCGCATGGAAGGAGTGTGCATATGTTTTCCCCATGAATCTGAATCAAGTCTCTTTGGGTTATCAGCACAATTCCTTACAACTAAGCCACTACCTCTCCCACAATAATTAATAAGTAAACGACTTGCACATTGTAAACGCAAATAAATGGTAGTGCACATGATTGCTGCTGGATATTTTGAGAGCCAGAAAATGACTAAGAATGACAGGAGAAGAACTGATAGCTTTGAGTTGTGGTGTTGGAGGGAAGTATTGAATATCCACAAAATGTCAAAAGAATGAACAGCTATGTCTTGGAGAAGGTGCAACCAGAGCGCTCCTTGGAGGCAAGGATGGTGAAGCTTCGTCTCATGTACTTTGGGCATTTTCCTAGGAGAGGCTATTCCTTGGAAGAGAACATTATATCATTCTCAGAAAGGTGGAGGAATGGCTAAAGAAGGGAAGACCCTCGACCAGGTGGGCTGACACAGTGACTGCAGCAATGGGCTCTAGTGTGTCGGGTAGTGTGAGGATGGCTCAGGATAGGACAGGGCTCAGATCTGTTGTTCATACGGTCACTATGATTTGTACTGACTTGTCAACACTCAACGATGACAGCATTATTGCTGCAGTGATTCTTCACTGCTACATGTAAACAGGTAAACTGCTGACAAATTCTTGGAGCTTTGAGTCTCCCCAGAAGCACCTTGGAGGAAAAGCCTGGTGGTCTCTTCCCAAAATATCTTGTTCTACTCTGGAAAGCATGGGATTACCCTGAATTGGAATTAATTCTGGTAGTGGAGAGACAGCACAGGAAAGAAAGACCTCAGATGAAATGGTATCCAGGGCAATGGAAGGTTGGTGTGTCAGAATTAGTGAGACTGGCTCAGGACAGGTCAGAGGTCAGAGCTACTGTACATAGGGTCGCTATAGGTCGCAGGCAACTCAATGGCACATAATAATAATAACAACATACTATATTGGTTGGCTTTTTTAATTTAAGCCTCTTCTTTAGAGTCAACAAGACCTCATGGAGAGGTCTGTATTTAAAAGTTTGTTGTTATTATATTTTGGAGGAACATTCTTCTAAGCGGTATAGCACTCTTCTGTCAATTTGCTGTACTGAGGTAACCTGGGGTTGCTGTGATGCTCAACCTTGTGCCATTGGGTTGTCAAATGCCATAATGGTTACCCATGGTGGACAGTGTTTAGTGAAGCTCCCAGTTTAAGACATGTTTGGAAGCAGGAGTTCCTCCACTTCCTAAACAACATCTGGAAACTCTATGAACTCTAAGAAACAACGATAGGTATAGAAAGTCTTCAGGTCTTTTGTTCATAGAGTCACTATGAGTCGTGCTCAACTCAATGGCACTCAACAACAACAATCTTAAGGAGATGCACTGTCAAGATGAAGGCACACAGTTCTAATCCACCAGCAATTCCTTGGGAGAAAAATGGGCAATCTCCTCTCATGTGATTTATGGCCTCAGAAAACTTCTAGAGTTGGTGCAAACTCGATAGTAATGTGAACTTAATAGAGTTATGTCACTTAAATGGATCTTTTGCCCTCGTAGAGACCAATGTGTCCCATCACTTGTGCCCTTCTGTCCAATACACTCACTCATCACCTTGGACAAGCATGGCAAGTGATGACTCAGCTTTGACATGCTCTGTTGGACTGTGATTCAGCTGGACTCTAAACCTGATAAACACAAAGCCTGGCATAAATGCTTGCTGAAAAGACAGAAATAAACTGGAAAACTTTATTTTGGGGGGACAATGGGTTGGGGGTGTCTAGGCTTAAAACATGATGTGAGCAGCTCCAGCTCTATAAAAAAAATTCCCTTTTCATCAGACGTTTTTCAAGGGTATCTAACAACAACAAAACCTGATGTATGAAGTCCTTCACAAACCAGAAGGTGAAATGTACAAATAAATTGAGTTTAACAATTTTCCAAGTGGACTTGATGCAGTAGAAGTGGAGAAAAGAATATAAATATATATAAAAGACAGGAAGAAATCTTGGAATTAAAAAGAAAAATTCTTGTGAAGTATCATTTTAAATGGCTAGAGTAAAAAGCACTCCAGGCTGTGTGGATCAGATTTCCTCTACAAGGCACTTGGGTGTAAAAATGTAGGCAGGTCAGTGCTTGGAAAAATATTAAGCTTCATGAAATCAAAACTATTTATGAGGTAGTTCAATGGTGGCTTCCCACAAATGTACTCACAAGTCTCCTATGGGAATATTTTACTAACTCCAGGCCTCTCTCTCAGCAAAATGGTAAAGTGAGCCAAACCTGGATTTGATCCTTCCTCACCACCCAGCCACATGGATCCCCACTTAGTTTCTTGGCCCCGTTGTTAGTTGCACATCAGTTATATGTGATACCATAAAAAGCAACCTCCTATAAAGTCTTTTACTCAACATTTTAGTTTATCAGAAGGAAAGCTGCCACCAACTGTTGTCCATTGTCCTGCATGCCTGGAAAACTCCCTCCAAGGTCCTCCCTCAATTAGCATTTCCCATTCCCTCTGTCTGCCCAGCAAGTTGCTTGATGGAACCCACCAAAGTCCTTTCCAATGAAGCATCTCCCTGCTTCAAATCATTCAAAGCTCCCAGAACTAAATGGATGAGAATATGGACATTGAGTTCAAGACAACTCGTTTTTCATTCTACTTGAGTTTGCATCCTGGGGACAACTCTTAATATCTGTTGGTTTTTCTCCAGTTCATTTATTTATTACCCACACACTAATCTTCTCATCTATAAAGCAGAGATAATCAGTATCTATTTCACAAGGATGATGTGAGGTTTAAAAGTTGGGGAAAACATGTCCAGTATTTAAGATAGAAGCCGGCTCATCACAAAAGTAAGTAATAACTTAGTTAACATTGTCATTACTTGTGTCTTCTTGGGTAATATTGTTATTGTTGTTGTTGTTGTTGTTATGTACCATCGAGTCGCAACTCATAATGACTCTATGTACAAGAGGACTACATGCCGTTCTATCCTGTGCCAACCTCACCGTCTCAAACACACTCATTCTTACCACTCCACTCACAGAATCTATCCATCTCATTGAGGGTCTTCCTCTCCTGCGCCATCCCTCCACTCTCCCAAACATGATGTCCCTCTCCAAGGACCAGTCCCTCCTTGCAACATTCCCAAAGTATGTCAGACAA